AATTAGAGCGCACCTCAAAAATTTCTATTAAATAGGTTGTTTTGATGTCCAAATATCATCAAATTGATCATCTCGACATCAAGATGCATGGACATGAGAAAAAAATGGATTTCAAGTTTTATAAATAGTGCATCTTGTAACATGTTTTTGGACCGTCAATTTTCAAGATTTTATAAATCTGTTTAATCTACACCATTTTTTAACTTAAATATAATATTTAAATATACAAACTACACCCTTTTGGTTATAGGCTTGGGATCAAACTACCACTCACTGCTCACATGACGAACCCGAAAAGTTGGTCGGTCAATGCTTTGTTCGTGCGCTGCTCATGAAAGAAATATAATGAATAAATTAAGATAAAAAGCAGAGGATAAATGACGTGGTTTAAGCGTGCAACGTAAATGCCAAATTTGAGTGTGCAAGATGAGGATCGAGAGAAAAGGAAAGGAGCAGCCAAAAAATAATAACAAATAAATAAGAGATAATAAAGTAAAGGAAAAAGTTTATATAAGGTTGAAATCTGGAAATGCAGAATTACAGATGTACCTCAAAAATCCATAAAAAAATGTTGTTTTAACGTGGAAAAACCTTCTAATTGATTATCTCAACTTTGAGATATATGAGTATGAAAGAAAAAAAAGAGTTTGAGTCCCAGAAATAGTGCATCTTGCAATATCTTATCCAGACCGTCCATTTTCAAGATTTTCATATATTTATAGATCCACTTGATTTTAATCATTTTTTGGTTTACAATTTTATAATTAGATGTGAAAATAGATTTTAAGATAATCCTAAAAACAATTTCACCAAAATTACATATTATGGTAAAATTTGGAGGTGCGCTTTAATTGGATTGTTTAAGGTTGCAACCTTATAGAAACCACACCCTAAACTAAAAACATTGGGAGGAAAGGAAGCAACATGGAAAGCGCCATTGAGAAATCGAAACGAATACAAAAGGCAACATCCTTGCGGTTTTGGAAAAGTATATAAAGAGATCATCTATCTGTGATACTAGGAGATCATAATTATTCTCGTCCGTCAGATTTCAAATTGGGTGATTGTAAGAGTATTATTAATTGGACTCGAAAAACTAGTTTTCGGATTACGTGATGCACTCAAACTATCCAATTTGGCATCTAATCGCTTGGAGTAATTGTGACCTCCTTGTAATAAATATAATTGGTTTTATATTACACGATTACATTTGTTTTTGTTTTTTTTCCCTTTACAAATAAACCAAAGCATAACTTAAAACGAAGGGAAAATATATCACACCGTCCATTGTGTACAATGGATGGCAGATGTGAACATTTCCTCCGTACACTGTGTGGGGAACGGACTTTCATGTCATCTGAACTGTCTGTTGTTGTAAGCAAGCATTAGATGTGATGTGTATTCTAGTGTATTTAAACTGCACGGTTTTGTTTAGAATCTTACTTATGAGTATACTATGATATGTTTCTATTCAAGTAAGAAATTGTGTGGGGTTAAACAAGATAGTAACTTCTCCCTTCGAGATAGGAGCCACATAAGTCCATCATCGGGACAATGAAGTCATCGTCTCTAATTTCCTAAAATTGATTAATGGTGTCCCTTTGTATCAACATAGTTATCAAGATGGGATCGGGTTGTCCACTATCAATCCAAATCATTGTTTGATTGGTTTCGTTCAGTTCCACTGACTGTTTTTTATTAATTCAACCAGCCAAACAAAGTTAGATAATTTTTTGATATATTAAATATTTTTCAACTATTATTTATATTTTTATATATTGAAAATTCAATTCAACTAATTCAATCGACAATCAAACGAATTTTTATAACCAAACACTCATTAGTTCCATGGCTGATGTGATCCTGATGGTAATGTTTATCAATTGTGTGGTTTAGTCTTCTTCGTTGACATGTGCATCAGTTGGGATAAGATTATTTTATCTATTCATCCCATTTTCATTTTCATTGTCAATTTTAAGTTGTATATGTAGAGACAATATGTTAATTAAAAAAAGTTATAATGATGATGATAATGATAATGCAGATACATCACACAAGGAGAACTATATAAGCCTTTACCCACAGAAGCATCATTATACCCCAAATGTTGCTCTAAACCATGGTTTAGGAATCCAATCAGCACTGAACTGATGAGGGGTTTGGTCTAGTTAATATCGGATGGATCATTGGATGTAATTTGAAAGTTAATTGATAAGGGGTTTGATCCAGTTAATATCGGATGGACCATTGGATATAACTTAGAAATTAAAAAAGAAATCGCACAATTTTGTTTAGCCAGTTGAATAAGACAAAACTAATCGGTTAGATTGGGCAAGCCAACCAGTTATGCCAACCGGTCCAATTAGGCCTTGCAACATCTGAGCATTTAAAGTTCAAACTTTGGCTTGGTGGGAGACATATAAGTGTAGATGTGGGAGGTTGGAAGTATGCCCTAAAAAAATCCAAAGCAAATTAACCTAGTTTCTTTCTAATTGTCCTAGGAGATTTATCAACAATACACCAATTATTTAACAATCTTATCGCTTTCAACCACTCCAATTCATGATTATTTATTTTTTTGTAAGATTTTTAAAAGTAACTAAAATAGGTCAAGTGTTAAACAATTAATCTCTGTGTCTTTTGATTAATTTTGTTTTTTCCAAGAAAATATAAAAAAAGATATGGGAAACGAGTAAGCTTTGGGTGTTCTTTTTAATTTTTTATGTGGAATTATGCGTCCAACTTTCAGGTGAAACATCATTGCTTACAAGCAGGCATTTGAAAAAACCATATATTTGGCAATGAGTTTGTTTGTGTTATTATTTTTGGCCGATTCCAAAAAGCATATCAAGAGCAATGATCGAAAAATCGACTTAGGTAACTCTTCAGCCCATGCCCTAGCCGAGTACTCGGCCGAGTTCGAGTAACTTGCCCCGAGTCGGGTAGAGTACTATAGAAGCTGAAGACTATTAAAAAATGTATATATATAAAAAAACTAAAAAAAATAGAAAAAATATATTCAAAGCAAAATTTAACAAAACAATTAATTATGGTTAAAAATTAGCAAAAAAAGTAGATTTTAAAAACGGGTGGAGAAATCTTTGTGATATCCTCAAAATATATTTTTCATCTCTAATTATAAAATTTAAAGCTTAAAAAATAGTATAGATCGAGCAGATATATGAAAACTTGAAAATCTTGAAAATTGTCCGTCAAAAAATACATTGCAAGATGCCCAAACCTTGAAATCCATTTTTTTTTCATTTCAATGTATCTTGATGTCGAGATGATCAGTTTAAGAATATTTGGCCATCAAAATAACCTCTTCAAGTGAAAATTTTGAGGTGCGCTCTAATTTGATTGTTTAGAAGCTTGGCTTTATATAATTTTTTTTTAAAAAAAAATGACTTAGTGACTAGGGGTATTTTCAAAAAAATTTAAGAAAGGTGGAAAAATATAAAAATAAATATTTATAACCAAAATACTTTCCAATATTTTTCAAAATGATAAAAAACATAAATAAACATATTGCAAAAATATATAGTTTTTAATTAAATTATTTTAGAATCCTCAAATTGTACCTCTAACTCAGGATAATTCTGGCTCGACAAGTGCCCGAGCCCGAATAACTCGCTCCACTTTTCTAACACAGGTGAGTGGGGGCACAATTGGAATTACAAATGAGTTTCAATATGAAAAAAGAGGGCACACATATCGATGTTTGTGAGGGAAAATAGACGTTAAAGATTGGAGGGTAGGCAGGTGTTCTCTTCCTCCCCTCTTTGGTTGAAAGTGAGTCAGAGCTCAGCTTTTCACTTTCATACTAAATCTCCATAAATTGACTCATAAATTGCCACACCCACAATAATTACTACATTGCCCCTCTGCCTTTTCTGATGTGGTGCCATGAAAGCTTTTTACCCATAAAAAGTATACAGTTAAAAAAGAGTGACCATTTTGTTTCTCAAGTGACTGAGTTGATTGATAAATTGTAGGGGTGGCAATGGGCCGTGTGGCAGCCCCGGCTCAGTCAGCCCGCCCCCACCAATCACACTTCGAAGGTAGGGCTAAGTCATGTTTGGGCTAAGGCCAGCCCAATTCGGCTTGGTCTGACTGTTTTTTTTATTTATTTTCTTTTACATTTATTTTATTTTATTTTACTAAGGCCAAACCTCGACCAAGGCATCTTTGGTCCGATCAAGACCAGTCTCGGCATGGATCTGGGCTATCCTTACGGGGACAAGGGCCAGGCTACCTAAAAGGCCTTCCCAATAAGAAAATTGAGAATGTTTTACAACATAGTAAAAATTTACTACATAGTAAAACCTAGTCTTTTTTTATTTTATTTTAATGTTTAAACCTAGTCTAAATAAGTATAAAAATAGATAAGACACGTCTTTCTTAAAAAACCTGCTCCATTCCACACTTCTTTATTCTTGAAAAGAACATTTTTTTTTATAAAAGAGATGCCAACAAAAAGATAAAGAAAAAAGAGGTAGAAATAAAAATAGGAAAATTGTCTCATACGTGTTCGACCGCATTACTACATATACGATCCAAAAAGTGTAAAGCATCTATCTTAAAGATGGATGCAAGTAGGTGTTCCATCTAAAAACAATGAAAACTAAAGGTTCAAATGTTTTCTTACTAGAATTATTATTTCTAATTTTTAAATTTTATTTCTTTTATTCATGATCTCCATGTGAAAGATTACATGTCTTTAAAAATTAAACCAAAAAAAATTCTATCTCAAAAATAAATTTATTAATAAGCCCGTATTTCTACGTACGTGGGCTTAGCAGCATAGAAACCGGGTCCAAAATAAAAATAAAAATAAAAGAGTATGATACACCTCGGGAAGGCTTCTAATAGTTGTTATGTCTCCAACGGCACTATTGTCAGGGTTTTGAAAAGTATGGTGGCAGGGCTATTTTGGTCAATTCCAAAGACTCTCTCACTCAAATATGTTAAACCTGTTACTGAGAATAATAGATGAGTGGGTGGCAAGTGTATTTCTATCTTTTTAGCAAACCCATGTGACACCACTTCTACTTCTCTTCCTCTTTTGCTTTCTCTCTCTAAACCAACTTTTCTGCCTCCCCTCTCCTTTCTCCTTTCACCCCTCAATAATTCTCCCTCTCTCTCTGAAAGTTAAACCGTCTTTTGGTTTTTCTTCTTCTTGGTTTAATAAATTCTCTCCAAGTAAACCATTCATCTCCCTTTATTGAGTGCTCTTGAAGGCTTCTCTTCTCTTTTTCAGCTTTGAATTGGTCTCTCTCTCTCTCTCTGAGGTTGCAGAGATTAGCGCGATGACTGAACCAAAACCAGAAGACATCACCCACCCTCCAATGGATCAGCTCTCAGGCTTTGAATACTGCATCGATTCGAACCCAAGTTGGGGTACTCTCTCTTTTTCCTGAATTCCTATCTGTTTTAAGCTGGAAATGGGAGTTGTCGATTGAATTCTCTTGCAATCGTGGTCTTAGAATTGCATGCTTTCTTTTCTTGTTAATGCTTTCTTCTTTCTTTTCCTGTTTTTGGATGCAGGCGAGGCCATTGTGCTTGGTTTCCAACACTATATTCTGGCTTTGGGAACTGCCGTTATGATTCCATCTTTTTTGGTTCCTATGATGGGAGGAAGTGATGTAATTTCTAATTTCTTTCTTTCCTTCCATTTTACTTGCTTTTTTTCATTATTTACCAACCACTATCATTAACGATCATAATAATATAAATTCATACTTAGTAACAACAAAAAAGATAAAATCACAATAATAACATTTTAATATGTATTATTTTTGTTACAAATATATATCGTATCAATTTGCGAAAAGATTTCCGCGGATGTATGCATCAATTTGCTAAAAGATTTTCTACTCTCGAGGGAGCATAGTTGCTCAATTTATTTTTGGGTAGTTCATCAGGGCTTGGTTTCAGAGGTCTGCCATTGAATGGAGTAGAAACCAGCAAAGAGGAGCAGGAGCAGGAGCAGGAGCAGGGGCAGGGGTAAAGTAGCCAGCCAGGTTTCATAAAATAAAATTTGGGGTCGTTTTGACATTTAGGAGTTTGATGGGTGCAGTTTAATATCATTTGTGTGTAGGGGTATATTAGTAATTATACGCCCCTGATGGTAAGCCGCAATCTCCTCTGCTTGTACCTTCTGTCCGTCCATTTGTCCCAAAACCGGCGAAGAAGCGAATCATCATATTTGTTGTTGATAGATGCGTGCATAATCTAACGGTGGCATTTTTCGTATGATCGCACTTTTACTAATTCCAAAAGTGCCACTGCCACTTATCATTGTTTCAGTGATGCTCCTGTTCCCATTCTAATTATTTTTAATTTCCATTTCCAAGATACGGATTGAGATCAAAATTGAAAAAGAAAAAATCGCCATTAAAAGGTTACATTATGATGAAATTTTTTTAAAAATGTGAAGAAAGAAATTGTCAAAAATGAAGGTAACATTTTTGAAGTTACAATAAATTTAGTTTTAGTTGCAAAAGTGAACTTTCTCCATCGAAAAGAGTTCTAAATCTGAAATTTCATCTATGAGGATTAATGAAATAGATGTGGCAAAAGTGATTAATGAAATAGATGTGGCAAAAGTTTTACGCTGGCCGACAAACTAACATGAACTTTCGTCTAGTATTTCATTAAATTCAGCCACTTCAATACCTTACTCAAGATTATAATTTGTTTTGTCTTTCTGCGAAAACTGAAATGCTAACTCCTGCTTGAGTATTATTTCTTTTAACATTTTTTTACACAAATACTTGATATTTTGTTCTTTGTATCTGTATGTTTCCTTCTTAATATCTGTCATGGTGAATCTGTACTTCCATTTTATCTAATTGTGGAACAGGATGATAAAGTGAGAGTGGTTCAGACATTGCTATTTGTGAGTGGAATCAACACTCTTTTGCAGACTCTCTTTGGTACGCGTCTGCCCACTGTGATTGGTGGCTCCTATGCTTTCATAGTCCCCATTCTCTCCATCATCAATGATTCTTCATTGACCCAAGTCACCAACCCTCATGAGGTTATTTTTTTACTATATATCATTGATGAATTTCATCACTCTGTGTTTGGGGTACTCTTCAAAGTTCAAACTTTTCTTCTTTGTCTTTTTGTGAACTGAGGAGATCAATGCTTTTGTCTTCTGATTTGTCTTCTTTTAGAGGTTCCTCCAAACCATGAGAGCCATACAAGGAGCTCTTATTGTATCTTCAAGCCTGCAGATTATACTGGGTTACAGCCAGATTTGGGGAATATGCTCGAGGTAATTTTAAATTTTACGCACGTGCTAGCGCGTGCACACACAGAAGGAGGTGGGGGGGGGGGGGGGGAGGAGATATTAGAACTGACTGTGCTTCAAAATTTGCAGGTTTTTCAGCCCCCTCAACATGGTTCCCGTGATTGCCTTGGTGGGCTTTGGACTTTTCGACAGGGGCTTTCCTGTGGTATGAGCTTCAATAGCAGTCCCCCTGTTCCTATTTCCAGGATTCAAGAATCATTGAGTTAAAATCACAACTATAACATTGTCTTTCGATCACCGTTATTTCTCAAGGTTTTATTCTATTGATGATATTTATTTTTGATTCTCAGGTTGGTAAATGTGTGGAAATTGGTGTCCCAATGCTTATATTGTTCATAGGCTTCTCTCAGGTGAAGATGTGTTCATAAATTTTTGAATGATGGGCAATACCGTTCCTTAGATAGGAAATGACCAACTTAAGAATTCTTCTTTTTTTATTTTTTCTTTTTTTATTTTTTTTATGATTCAATTTAAGCAATTTAGAAGTAAGAATTCTTGCTGTTGGTGTTCCAAAAATGACCATTGTATCCTTTGTGGTAAATACATAGAACAAGAGATCCCTACATTACCAAATTGGCTAAGTACAGAAAGCAAGTCCTTGAAATTTCCAATGCCTTCTCAATACAACTGATGCATTGAGTCATTCAGAACATAATAAATCTGTTTTCCCTTTGTCCATCCGAAATAATTCTTTTGCACTTTCAACTTCCTGCGACCAAGATACTGAAACAAGGGCGAAATGATTTAATCAAATTTTATAGTGAGAATATATAAGAGTTTTGAATTTCCTAGGCAGTATTTACTCATATAGTTCCTCTTTCCTATGCAGTATTTAAAGCATTTTGAGACCAGAGGTTTGAGAGTTTTTGAGCGCTTTGCGATGCTCATCACAATTACCATCATTTGGGCTTATGCCCACCTCTTGACAGCGAGTGGGGCATACAAGCATCGCCCTGAAGTAACTCAAAGAAACTGCAGAACTGATAGAGCGAATCTCATTTCATCAGCTCCCTGGTATCAATCTCCTTCCCATCAAAAAATACTTGTTTTGACAGTTTCTATTGATTTGGCCATTTGTTTATCTTATGAATAGGAAATTTTCCAAAACCCACCCTTCCTATTTGGATAGTTTCTGTTGTTTCATGTTTTTATGAATAGTAAAATTTTCATAACCTTCCTATTAATTCTAAACTCTGGGCCTTGTTGCTTTGCTTGATTTCACATCAATCTTTGTATTGAATTCCATTAGATCTTGGCCAAATTTTTTTGTTGGCCTTCCTCATACTAACTGAGTTTCCTTGTTGCTATACAAGCATCATATGAAAAAACATTTTGGTTATGGGTTACCTGCAACTTTATGTGGCCATGACCCCAGAAGCAATTTATCATAGAAATGAAGAGGAGGAAATTCAAGTTAGTTGTTCAGTTCTGACAACATAGATATAATTACTTGTAGGATAAAAATCCCATACCCACTTCAGTGGGGTGCACCTACATTTGATGCCGGACATGCCTTTGGGATGATGGCTGCTGTTTTCGCCTCACTGGTTGAGGTACTACTCATCTCATGAATTGTATGCATTTATATCTTCTATCAAAACTTGAAATTTTGCTTCTCTTGTTTGTTAGCAATGCGAAAGGCTTTATTGATGAAACGATCCAAATCATAACGATGTTTGAGTCTGTCTCACAGTCAACAGGAGCATATAAAGCTGCATCTCGACTCGCAAGTGCTACACCACCTCCAGCTCATGTTTTGAGCCGTGGCATTGGGTGGCAGGTGGGTTTGGCTAAGCACCTAAACTATTACTTGTGTTGCTCTCTCTCTCTCTCTAAACTATTACTTGTGTTGCTCTCTCTCTCTAAACTATTACTTGTACTGCTCTCTCTCTCTCTCTCAGAGGATTGTTGAGAGGGAATCATCTATGATCTTTGCATACTTTGCACTGTAGTTACAATAAATTGTTTAAGTTGTGCAAAATATTCTTGAAATGTTTGTCTTCTCTGAGTTTTGATCTTGAACTATAAGAAACGTTTCTCATTTGATTTACATCAACTGGGTGAGCAAGTTTTGCGTCATGAAGATGTACATTGTGCTGTTTGCATTAGGATCATTATTTCAGAATGCATCTTGTCTCACAAAGAAAAAGAAAAACGTATTTCATCAATACCTAGAAAATCATCTTATTATTTCAACTCATACGAAGTGGTCGATATCCGATTTCCTACTGATTCCTAAACTATTTTGGGAACAGGGGATTGGAATTTTACTTGATGGTATGTTTGGAACAGGCACCGGTTCTACTGTGTCAGTGTAAGTATTGAGAACTTCTTTGTTTATTCAATTTGCAATGATTTGTTCCTGATGTATGTAACTTTCTTTTGCTTGGGAAAAATGCAGAGAGAATGTTGGACTTCTAGGAGTGACACGAGTTGGCAGCCGCCGTGTCGTCCAAATTTCAGCTGGATTCATGATATTTTTCTCAATATTGGGTGAGAATACTATTCATTTGAAAGAACTTTTTTTGGCTAAAAATTGGACCCACAATTTTGTTCTTGTACAGAAAAAGATGAAATTGACGATTGCTATTTGCAATTTACTGAAACTATAGGAGGTCTGACTTCTTTTATGCTACCATATTCTCTTCTCTAGGGAAATTTGGAGCACTGTTTGCATCAATCCCATTCACCATATTTGCTGCTCTATATTGTGTTTTATTTGGATTAGTAGGTACGACCTCCCTCTCTCTCTCTCTCTCTCACTCATCCCATGCCTTCGGGATTTCTCTAACCTCTCTGGTATCTGTGTCAGCTGCGGTTGGTCTCTCATTCTTGCAATTCACGAACATGAACTCGATAAGGAACCTCTTCATCACAGGCGTCTCCTTCTTCTTGGGTTTATCAGTACCTGAATATTTCAATGAGTACACAAGAACCTCTCAGCATGGACCTGCACACACCAAGGCCGGATGGGTATGTCTCCTTAAATTTTCCCTTTCTTTTTTTTTTTGCTAATTCAAGTACTTTGTGCTTGCAATGCAGCATCCGATAAGCAAAAATGGTTTGTGAGAGGTGTTTATTCTTTGTTACTTGTCATTATGCGAAAAGTAGGAGAGAGAGAACGAGAGATGTGCTTCATCCATTGATATGTATGAAAAGTCGGTTAGAGAGAGATGTTTATGCTTTCTCACTCTCTAACCCACTTTCCATACATGACAAAGAGATCTTTGTTCTCTGCTCTATTGTCTTATAGGAAAAGTGGGCTAGATTGTGAGACATTTGTACTTTGTCCTATGGTCATGTATTGAAAGTAGGTGAGAGAGAGAGAGGTCTGCTATGTGATAATGCTTAGTAGTTGGAGAGAGGGATGAATGTCTGTTCCATTGTCATATATGGAAGTGGGCCGAAGAGAGAGCCTGTGTTTGTTCTATGCACAACAAATAATGTATAGTGGGTTAAGAGAGAGAGAGAGGATGTTTGTGTGTTAGTATGGCCATATATCTCTTTGTGTGATGGCATTATTATTTTTGTGATGTTGTGTACTTTATGAATACCATTCTCAAATAATTGGGATAAGGATCAGATGATGATGTGTGTTTTTATGAATGTGTGTGTGTGCCTGCATGCAGTTCAATGACTACATAAACACGATATTCTCATCTCCTGCAACTGTGGCTCTGATAGTTGCGGTGTTTTTGGACAACACCCTTGATTACAAGGATGCTGCAAAGGACAGGGGGATGCCATGGTGGGTGAAGTTCAGGACTTTCAAAGGAGATAGCCGAAACGAGGAATTCTATACCCTTCCTTTCAATCTCAACCGCTTCTTTCCACCCACTTGATTTCTATTTTTACTGCTCTTCTCCTCAACTTCCACCAACCAAGCTGCTGCTTCTTCAAACCAGGAGTCCAGTGAGGACAATGAAACTCTCTCTCTCTCTCTCCTTTTCCCAAATTTATGTCATGTAATTATTGCTCCCTTGTTTTTCAATTGGAAAGGGAAAAGTTTTTGCCCTTATTTTTCCTATTCCTTTAGACCATCTTCTATTCATTTATAAGCTGTCATCTTTTATTTATTTATGTATTTATTTATTTCCTTAATTTCACGATCAAATCTTATAGGGAACCCCGAGAAACAGCGAAATTTGAAATTCTTGTTGGAAATGAGGTAAGTGAATGGGGCAACATAAAGAAAATTAACAGTCACTTTAACATTTTGAAGAACTCAAGAACTCGATATCTTTCTGTTTCGTGCTGACACTTTCCTAGGACAATATTTGCCTCTTATTTATAAAATAGGTGTGCATATAAGTACTCCAAGCAAATTTGTTCTGAGGATACATAGAAACAAATTGAATCAATACTTATGTTACCTGTAAAAATACACTAGTACAGCCTTTCTTTGAGGGAGAGACTGAGCAAGCTGAAAATTGTGTGCCCTCTCTTATATTTGGTGAGATCCCAAAGTAATTTTTAAAGAGAGTAAGTGTTCTTCAGGCTTTGGTAACCAAATATGACATGTTCAGTTATTGTGACTGAACATAAATATACGAGAGACTTAAGTGTTCTTGAGACTTTGGTAATCAAATATACGACATGTTCAGTTATTGTGACTGAACATTGAGGAGTTGTGGCTCACATCTCATATAACGTTTTCGTTGCAACTTATCATGCCAAGCTGGTCAAATCTTTTCAAAACGAACCATCTCATACCGTAAACTTATCTCAATAGCGCAATGTCGGCAACACAACGAGCGACTCTCATAGTGCCTTTACACACAACTCTTACTAGCACCATTGCTATCGGCGACCTTACTTGCCATATCGCATTTGATTCTGATCAGAGCCCGACCCACACCCATGCACAAGTGATCCTTCTACTGGCTAACCCCTCACCCCACTTGGCAAGCCCGTTTTTCTCATCCATTGTTCTAAGAACATGTATTTGCATATTTAAGCTTGACTTGCAATATTGCCATTTATCAATGTGAGATTAAAAATGCACTATTCTTTCTGTAACAATATATAGTTTCACTTTCCAAAACTATGGTTTTGAAAGGATATTATTTTTAAAAAAAATTTAATATTTTTTTTTCCAATGCCGAAATACAACAATTCTAACATTGT